GGCAGTGCCTTTATTTAGTGGCGGGTCAAATCCGCCACCTCGCAGCTTTGTTAAACAGACCTTTGTGGCTTTTTAAAGGGAGAATGCCTGCCAGACGAAAACCCACCAGGTCCTGAAACACTTCTGCCGAACTATTGGCTGGAACGGGATTAACACAAAACATCTGGCTGACACCACGTGGAGGTTGTTCAGCTAGCCAGTCACGCGGATGTCCTTGATACGCATTACTCGAGTATTGCTGGATCGCACCTGGACCCTTAGTCCGCGCAAGAAGTGAATAAGAACACACACCGGATGGGACGTGTCAAAACTGTAGTAGTTAGCTTGTAGGTTACACCAGATGAATAAGTCGAAAAGGAACCAATCAGCACAAGGAAAAAAGAGTGGACGAATCAGCTATCGGTCAATCGATCTGTAGGTGTCTGTGTTTGCTCATCGGCTCAGCGGACGACACACATGTAACAGTTCTGTCTTGGCTTATCAATTCACACCCAAAGGTGAACGATGACCATGTGATTGCAGCTATCAGTTTAGAAACAGGAGTCCAATGAATCCCGTCTGCCAATGTGAGAAGACTACCAGAAACAGCGGATATTATTTGTATAGAGACATCACCGGACAGTAGCATGCAAACCGCGATATAATGCGTAAAAATATGTTGGCCAGGTGGAGGCATAGCTATGGAGTTGCGGCCGTTATACAATGAGCGTGGATCTCTGTCAATCGTGGAAAATTGCCTGAGGTTTGGGGATCAAGTAGTGATGCCAAAGAAATTACAGAGGCAAATATTTTAGCGGTTCCACCCGGGCACTTTGTTACCGGTCGCCTGAAAGCCTTGACAAGCTGCTTTTTTACCGGTCAAGCATGGATCCAGAAATTGAAAACTTCGCCAAATATTGTCAACTTACAGCGTACGCCCATCCCAAGTGTCATTGGCAGTCTTGGCCTAAATCAGCGAAGGGTTGGCAACAAATACACTTAGACTATGCAGGACCAATCAGTATCCAACCCTATCTCCTTTTGGTCAACTCATGCACCGAATGGCCTGATGGGCTTCCGGTAAACTAAACGACAACCCAACAAACTGTCAACGAGCTCAAGAAGTCACCTCGCTATTTGTCTGCCAGAGATGTTAGTGAAAGACAGTAAAACAAAATTCCCATTTTTTACAAGTGGTGAAAGGAAAATGGAAATCGGCAGCGGTTTTCATCAGTAGGACATCCGCACTCAAACAAGCAGTCGGTAAGGTTACTGACTGCGTTCAAACAGGCACTCTGTAAAGCAGAACAAACAAAACATACACAAGATGACATTCAATGTTTCCTATGCCTGTATCGGAACGCTCTTGATGGGAAATCACGTACAGAAGTGCTGTGAAAAAGAAATGTCCGGACTTTGTTCAAGAATCTTCTACCAAGGAGAATAGGAAAGTACGGCAGTAGTCCCCTGGAGGAAGCTGGCCATGTCAGGTCCGGCAGCTTCAACGGTATTGATATCCTTTAAGGCCGATATTTTCGGAGGCCGAAGGGGTGGTCGAGCGGAACTGTTATCGGTCAGAATGGCATAGAGATCTATGAGGAGATGGTTTAACGTGAGAGATAGATTAGGCTGTGACACCTTGAGACTGCGCATGAAGCACGAGCTGTTTCTCGTACATGGCCAGCTCCGGAAAAAGTTACGTGTTTATGGCATACCGCAAGTCTAGCGCAGTGCAACAGTACCCATGGACGAGATCATCTATTGAGCCCCATTAAACTGCAGCTAAGGATAATCACGCTCGGTGGAGTATTCACTGTCGACATCGTTAACGAAAAGCATGGGAGCGGCAACTGGCTGGGGATGTAAATATCCCCACCTGAAGGTTTTTATGGAATAGATTTGTAGGCAAGTGGATGTGCTTTTGGAAGTTTGAAGTATACCAGATTCAGTTAATGAGGCCGAGACTCTCTCGGTAGGCGTTGGGCTGCTATCATCTGTTGGACTAAAGAACTATGCTAATTGTCACAACTTTGTGCTCGCTCGTGAACCTTATCGTTGAGGACAATACAGAGCAAAAGTTCACAGAAAATGCTTCGCGAACGAACGAAGTCAAAGTTAAGAAGGTGCGGTCACTACCGAAGAGGAGGGATCTCATTGTGGCCTCTGCATGAATGACAGCTAGGAACAATGGAACCAACTGGTGGTGTCAGTCGCAGATTCATGGTATTTTCAACATGCGAAATAATTTCAACAGGCAGGTGCCCGTCACTAATCAACAGCTGCAAGATAGGTTAATTGATCAACAGTCTTTGGATCCTCGTCATAAATGACCAAGCGTGGCGATGCTGAAACCACTCGGAGAACGAAAAGCGCACGCCAGGTGGGAGCCACTAGGGAGCTTGCTATGCCGACTCGCGATTATACTACAGTAAGACAGCGTCGTAGCAGTGAATCTCAACGCCACCCTTCAACGGTGGGACACCAGATAAATCGAGGTAGCAGTGCGGAGATGGTTGAAAATGTGACTGTTTAATAAACCTCAGATTAAGATAGAGCTTCTCAGCCGCTCGACTGTTATTCAACTGGTGCCACCTGATGCCTAAGCGGCAAGATGCCAAGCAAGCTGCTTTTGAAGGTGCTTCAGTCAGACCCAGATGATGTTTCCTACTGCAACTGAGAGCACCACCGACGGGCGGATTCTCGGGACTAGTGATGTCGCTAGAGGAGCTCGTCACAATCCGTACGTAATAGACATGCAAGACCGCTACTCAGTGCGTGTTCCTGGAATCTACTTTTATCACACTTTTGACTTGTGTACTTACGCATCAACAATTGAAGCCGTCTGTAAATGTTGATAAATCTTGACGATATTGAACAAGGCCGGAGCCAAATTGACGATGATTTTCAGTCAAGATTTCATCGTTAAATAACCGAAATCGAACTGTACGAGCCAGCGGGCTCGCATATTGATAAGGTCTTACAAGAACATGCGCTGCCTAGTTAGAATAAGGTAGCTGGCCAAGATGACTACCAGCGTCAAAGCTGGAGAACCGCAACGACTAAGTTGTAGCTAAACTAAACTCATCTGGGTAGTACATCACGAACACGTGCTTTGACGGATGGTCACTTGCATGTAATAGTTTTTTAAAAAGGTTAAGAGGATGCTGCTATGCGAAGACATGGAGGAAGCAGTTTAACTGGGAGAGATTCCGAAGTGAAATGGATTGACAGTGTATTAAATCGTCATGTGCATGAACAATGCCACACCTACACCGACTCATAATCGCTCCATGCATACAGATGAAGGCCACCTCGAATTTAGTTGATTTCATCCGCATCGCAGAAAAGTATCCACTCCAAGATTGCTAACGCGCATCGTTAAGAACCACTTAAAACCAATGGGGAAAATGTACCCTGCGTTCACGACAAGTTGGAAAAAAGCAGAATTCACTAAATAAGCACATATTCCAAACTTAGACACGTGGCGAAAGAATCCCATGATGTCTAACCCAACCATTTTTGCAAGCTCTGTGCGCTTAGGTGTACTTGATTCACAGCATCAAGGTACATGGTTCTTAAGCAAAACCGAGTGCACACCACCGCTGCTTTCCAGCATCCCATGGACTCGCTGAACAACCGTTGCGCATGCGGAGGTCAAATCGTCAGGGATGCTTCTGAGCATTCCGAGCAGGCTCGCATAAGCATGTAGGCCTCGGTCACTAATGGCGACGAGATGTCATGTAATCAATCAGAGACACATCGCGATCACCGATAGTTTGCGCATCTGAGGTATGATAAAGGTGAATTAGCATCCCCGCACCTCCGTACCAACGAAATGTTAAATATATATAATATAAAAATACCGAACGACAGTTTGTTTGTGTGTGGATGCTACACACGAGCGGTAAGAGGTCGCCTATTAGCAACAGTCGAAGCGATCGCCATCCGTCTCCAGAACCCTGGCCTATGTGCACAAAAGCAATTCGTTCAGATTCCCTCTCTTCCCTGGCCCCCTATTACAGCAACTGACAAGTCATTGACAGTTTGCGAACCAAGCACTTGACCTTGTAATTTAGCTGACCTAGGGCTTTTAATTTTACCCTTGGAACTTTACTCCCGTCTGATGTTTTAACTCATTTTGGTTCTTAGTTGCAGTGTACCAGCCTGGCGAGAGCCACCGAAAACGAGCTTGTTCGCTGACTCTTGTTCTGATGTCTACATCTGGGATATTTGCTTGCTTGTTTCAGAACCGTTGATGCTGCACCGGACAAATTGCCGGTCCCACTACTCCTCATACGTTGGCTGGCATTGCTATTTCTGGTCCTAGGAGGCCAGGACATAGTCGGTCAGTAGCATAGCATAAGTGAATGAGGCGCATAATTACTGACCTGGTTCGGCTGGCGAGTGCTACCTATAATCCTTGATTTTAAGGCCCAGTACGCTTTCTACTACAGTCCGTGCGTAGCGTAGATACTACAAGTAGGATTATTTTCGCTCTTGATTTACAAGAGCAATTCGTAGTATTCATTTTCCGGCCACTAGAGCAACCATTCCGCGCTGCAATGCTATTGCGTATACACTCTCGTCACCAATGTTCTGCACGTACACCATGCAGATAAACACGCCAATATGTCTCGTTTACCGCCTCCATCTGATGCGGAAATGTCACTGTGACCATTGTACGCCGACGTCGTCGCGCCCGTCCAGTCCAAGGTGATTTAGGTCACACACTAACACCGTGAGCACACCATAGGTAGGAAGCGAGTCTGATTGTGTTGTAGCCCTAATCGATTGACTCGGAGTCAGTTCACCGATTGCTTGCGATGCGACAGTGAAATCGAGCGACCTCGATACGCAGCATCCTCTCACAGGATTTCCGCGTGAGCCGCTGTAAAAGCGCTGTGACCTGAAAACATAATTGAGATGACAGTGATAGTGACACTGTGCACCCACAGAGGGAAAGATAGCTATTGGGACGAGTCTGGGTCTACCGTTTTGAAATAACCAGAAGTCACAGGAAATGGGAACGAAGCAGAAAATAAATAGTCTATGGCTGTACATTGACGGTGTTCGAGCACACAGACAATATCACAGTCCTTCCGAACAGACGGGAAAAAGTACAAGTAAAATTGGAAGAGTGCGGATCACTCTGGTAGAGAGAAGTCATGTTGGATAAAAGCGATCAGGAGCTGAGACCACTGGGACCAGGCACACCTTCAGTGGCTGCGGGAGCGAAGGTGATTACCAATGAGAGATGTGATAAGGTAGCGACTTCATCGTTGGGAACCACCCGATAGATTCCGAATGTCGAACTGAAGCGCGCGAATTCGTATAAACGATTGAGACAGCGATTGGTGTACAGCGTCCAACTGGCCAATAACCGAACGAACCGCGTAGTGCCAGTCGTCGTGTAGGGGTGAGTTGCGTTATGCAGCGTCATGTCAGCGAGCGCCAACAGCAAACCACGGCAATTCATACTAGTTGAAATAATGCAACAGTGGATTACATACGTTTGATGAAATGCGGAAAAAATTCAGCCACCAAAAATGTGTTAAACAACGGAAACAAGTGAACACGATCAGAGATGCGAATAAAGCGCCAAGTGAGGGACGTGTGCTGATTGCAACAGAAATATCTAAACGGGTTTAGAGATTCCGTCGACAAATACATGGCAATCAAGCAGGGCGCATATGTTTCTGTTGTGAGATGTAATAAGAAGACTAGAAAGTCAATGAGCACGCCCGCACACATGCCGCATGCATGCAATAGCCATTTAAAGTTGCACTAAATTAACCGGAGGACAATAGCGAGCATTGGCGACAATGAAGGCACATAAGAATCAAAGTAGATCAGGAATGACAAAGTGGCAGAACTTTGCAAGCACAGTTACAGGCAAATCCGGCATCGGATGCTGGATTTGCCTGTAACTGTGCCGCACATCGGGTAGCCACAGAAGGCCTGTGTTTACAAGGGGACCATGGGTGGTTTGCGCTGCAACATCCACAGTTTCGCCAACACACACACACACACACCGAATCCAGTGTAAACCCGGAGGAATAAGACCGGTAGGCATGTGGATGGGAGCCACATTTCATCGACGGAGTCGACCCACACTCCTTTAACAAGAAGAGCAGAATATTCAAGCTTCATTGGGGAACCATGCGTACCAGACGCACACAAGGCGGTGGTTGGGCCGTAGCCAGTTCCACATTTCATGAATGGAACCACACTTTGAACCTAGCACCGTTACCAAGACGAAGCACGCCGTCACCTCCATTAATGATCAACGGTCTCCTGGAGTCAGTATAATCGAGGCGGAGGGTAATAGACAGGTAGGCACCTTGTCAAGATTCACATCGAAGGCGCAAGAATCGAGCCGGTACCAAAGAAACAAACCCTCAAATATCGGCCAACTAGTTGCACGTCAGCCACTTTGAAGATTTTTGAGGGGCTTATTTTTGGAGGAAAGATAGCCTAGACGAATTTGGATGACCCTCAGCAGTTCACAGACCGCAGTTCAAGATCGATACATAAAATAGCAACAAGGTCTGCTTGGTGAGCATGCGGAGCCTAACAGCGCCCATCGTTTAGCGGGTCCAAGGCGGTAACTTGTGAATGATTATGTTGCAAAGCTGTGAAGCAAATAGTATGTGAGATAAGGACATAGAGTAAAGAAGTATCCGTGAACGAGGAACTGCGATAAAGGAACTGAAGCCACAGATCATTTTCATGGACCAACTGAGGGTAACTGAATTTCAAGGGGATTTACATAGTGCGCACAATTTAAGTGTGGGTTTTAAAACGACACACTTTCAAGCTATGATGGGATAACTATGTGAAGCTGTTACGATCGCAAACCTTTACCAGACATAATGTGTAGCTAACATCAACGAAGTAGATGGATTTATGTGAATGGGTCTCTTGTCAGGGGAATCAAAACACCTCATGGTTCATGATAAGAACAGCTGAAATAAGACTGAATTGGATTTCAAAGTCATCGATGACTAACTATAGAATTGAAGACTGGTAGCTCAGGTTGTTCAGATGGCTGTTGACCTATTCTCCGAGCTTGGCAATTTTGTTGTAAACGTTTCGTCATCAATCGAGGTGACATCATCAATGCGTAAATGAGTGGCGTGCAATAGCGTAGAGTAGCATAGTGGAGCCTCGGTGAGAGTGCGCTGAACGTGGTGTGAGTGTGTTTTTATACCACCGTAGTTGGCCGTGGAACCGAGCAATCCTATTGGTTGGGAGTTCGATCCGCATTCAGCTTGGTTGATGAGCAGATGACCTTTAACCTCGCTTCCTTGTGTTTCGTGGTCTTTGTCTGCTTGCTCTTGCGAGTGAGTCTGCCGTCAGTTCTGGTTGTCTAGTCACACGTTCCACCGGATTCAGTCGGTCGAGTTGGCGGTTGTTCGCCATTAGTGTATAGTATACCGCGTCCAGTTCGATGTGTCGATTGAGTGAATGCGTTGCAGAGTACCAGGCTTCCAAAAACGCCCTCGCGTGTTTTGTACTTCCATGTGCTAGGATCTTTGCATTCTCCAGGTCGAAATAGTGGCCTTCTTGATCTTCATGCGCAGAAACTAATGAGTGTGGGTCATCCCTTCTGACGGCCACCTTGTGTTCGGTGACTCGTCTACAAAGCTTTCTTCCAGTTTGTACGACGTAGTTTTTATCGCAGTCGCTGTATTTTATCTGGTAGATGACAGTGCATTGGTCGGCTTGATTGAATTTTTCTTTAGGTCTAGAGATCAATTTCCTTAGGGTGGCACTTGGCTTGTGAGCCACAGAGATTCCATGTGATTGCAGCAATCTTCCTGTTAGCTCGGAGACGTTCTTGATGTAGGGAAGCATTATCCGTTGGTTTGCTTGACCAGATGACTGGTGCTGTGGCTGAGGCATTCGTTCCTTTAAGCTGCTTCTGATGAAACTTCTCAGATAACCGTTATTTCTAAACACTCGATATAGGTGGGTTTCTTCCTGTTTCCGCGATTCGGCTGTGCTGCAGTGCGTTTCCGCTCTTTTGAACAGGGTTTGAATGCAGCTCTTTTTGTGATTCATTGGGTGATTGTTGTGGTAGTTTAATATCTGGTCCCTATGCGTTTTCTTCCGATATACGCCCGTTTGCTATGGATTACCAAATGTACACAAGGACGGCGTCCCACTACGACCAATCGTCTCGCTCCCCGGAACCTCATCATATAACCTAGCGAAGGATATGTGGAGGAGGTCGAAACATTTGATTGCTGGATCCCAATATAGCGGATAAGTGTACCAGCAACTGAGTGGAACCCCCATAGGATCATTAATTTCGGGGTCCATTGCAGAATTCGTAATGCAGAAACTGGAGTGCATTACACTGCCATCTATTAGCCTAAAACTCTGGATACGATACGTAGACGACATGTTTGTCATCGTATAACGGAACACAGTACAGTCCACGCACGATTTGCTAAACAGCATACTCGAGAATATCAAATTTACGATTGAAATAGAGGTGGATAACAAGCTACCATTTTTGGATGTACTGGTTACTATGAATACAGACGAATCTATGGAAACGTGCGTATATCGGAAGAAAACGCATAGGGACCAGATATTAAACTGCCACAACAACAACCCAATAAATCACAAAAAGAGCTGAATTCAAACCCTGTTCAAAAGAGCGGAAACGCACTGCAGCACAGCCGAATCGCGGAAACAGGAAGAAACTCACGTATATCGAGTGGGGTTGGAGCTCTGGGTGTTGCAGCGCAAGCCAACCATGGTCCCTCTGTAGGCGCAGGCGTCCTGTGACTGGCCACAGTGACAGGCAAATCCGAAACCGGATGCCGCCAACCATGTTCCAGGTAGGTAAATGGCCTACAACTACCTTAAAATGAGCACACTGCTAGCACTGGTAAACAAAAAAAGCCTAAACATTCAACAAGGCCGATGCATAATAAGGATGCAGTACGTAAGACAAGTCAATAATGCGCTTTTATGAACCTAGGATGTGTAGATGATCAGTCGTGCTAAGTGTACGAAATAATTTCAGAAACTAGAGTGCCCCGCTTGGATAATCATTTGGATCGAGTTAGTTACTAGTTCAAAAATAGGTGAGCAATTTCAAAAATGAGCAGCGCACTCGACTCCGGATTTTTCAAAAGAGTAATTGAACGCGTCTATCCACTTTGGTATATTCTCTGGATGGAACAGGCTGGTGTCATCGGCGAAAGATATGTAGTCATCGAGTTCCTCTCGATGAACATAGAGTGTGAGCAACCACTGGTAGGTTAAGAGAAAGTTGTTCTCTGAAGAATTGCACCCCACGCAACCTGTGTATGGACCAGGTAAGCGTGAAATGCCGAAACCACCAGTACTGAAGGATGGCAAACGATAAGCCATCGATGTCAAGGCCGTGGTAGCAAGGTGTAGTTCCGACAGCAGGTAATAGTCCACAATTGGAGTGTTGAACGCATGGTTGAGATGAAGTAAGTCCGGGGTGAACGTCTAAAAATTATGGAAACAGTGAAGAGAATGAAGTCAGGGCTAAGGACAGTGGAGTGAGGAGATAATGAATGATATGATAACCTAAGAGAGAACGGTCGATTAAAAGTGTGAAGTGAGACAAACGAAATGTAAACCAGCGTATGAGAGAGCAACGTAAACAATGTCCCACATTATGAAGTATGCATCAATTTAGGACTTCATAAGGGTTTAAAAACTGAGGCTGTCAAATATGGACGACCGCAACAAGCCTGCTAGGAGGCAGTTAGATCATGAAACTACATGGAGCGCATAACATCCCTTGTTTGATATATAGTATGCGCTTCGGAAGTGACCGTGGACAAACGCAAATGATGCGCGTGTCGCTCACGTAATACAGTCCAACTTGCTATGGCGACCAACCAAAAACATCCCAACGTTTTCTCCTATGAGTAATGTCTCTATGCATGAACCTGTCCACGGCGACCACTTTTTGTCAATCCCTTGAGTGGTCGCCTTAGACAGGTTCAATTGTACTAACTTTCAGTGGTTGATTTTGAAACCTATACAGATTACAGCTGCGACCTGCCTTAACACGGCCGCAGAAATACGGTAGCCATTCAGATAGTAAAACACAGAGGAGCTTGAAATTTTGGGTGAAATGTGCTTGCAACACGGTGAACGGCAGGCCGACAGAAAAATGATCTGGCCACATTCCATGACACAACTAGGCAACGTTGCGCAGGAAATTATACAAGAATATGTAAAAACTCAATGTATTGATTGCCGCCAAACGTTCAGACTAAATAGGATAGGAAATCGTGGAGAAAATCAATTGTTATGCGTCAGGCTTGTAGGGTAAATTTAATCGGTGGACAGTACAGAATGAAATGAAACTATCAAACAGATGACTATGAAGGTTGAATTAGCTACACCCAACATGAACTGTTACTTGGCACAGTGAAGAGAACATTCAGAACAAGAAGTGGCGAGGATAGGATAAGATAACACTTCGATAATAAGCGCTTGGAATTTCGACAAATTGCAGTGTTCTTCATTGTGCTCTCACAGCTCCCGTTTGACCGCAGAATGACTTCACCTCACCTAACTCATCACGCTAGAAATGAAAATCATTATCAAAAACTTTGTCAAAGGATTTTCGTTTGCTATAGGTAGAAATTCGTCACATCTAGACTCACTCAGACAGCCGCCACACGCCCGGAAAAGCACTGTACGCGCGTTTCATCCTTTCGGGAATCATCAGCAGTAACTTATTCACGATGGTCGCTGCCGTCCTCCCGTAGCTCAGTGGTCTCAACCACGGACTGGCAACAGTCGAGCTGCGGGTTCGAGCCCTACCAAGGTTCCGATGGAATGCGCACTGCTGATGATTCCCGGAAGGATGAAACGCGCGTACAGTGCTTTTCCGGGCGTGTGGCAGCTGTCTGAGTGAGTCTAGATGTGACGAATTGCTACCTATACCATTCAACTCCCCCTACTACTCTTCTGTGATTTTCGTTTGCATTGTGAATTTTCTAACGTGATACATCTGATTACATAAAAGTGCACAAGAAATTTGAGGCTAGAGCGCCCATGGGGGTATGAACATGCTGTTGTGCAAGTCCTCATGCATTCCCCGATGATTACGGCTCCGAACGGAGCATGGGGAAGGGTGGTGATAGACATACACTCTTGCAGACCAAACGCTACATACCACACTTTCCGCGAAGGATCTCGGATTTGGAATCCGTGGATAACACGACCAAGTTATGTGGAAACGGACTGAGCATGCTTTGGACACTCAAAAGTAGCTCCTTTACTTCGTCTGAATAGATTGCCACGCGCCTCCTCTTTCATCATAAGACCGATGCTCGAAAACGGTTCACCCGCTTATGGTACGATCACCCATGGCGAGGTGCAGGAACTTAACGTGTTCAACATGTAGCAATCGGGATCATCCCCAATTCACAGCATATGTCGTAAGAACACCGATGAAGCAGAGCAGGGCTGTACACCATGTCATATAGTTCGTTTCAGGCGGACTTCATTATGACACACCAGATTTGACATCTGCGTGACTATCCAAGAAGAGACGGTGTCTGAACATGTGCGCAACCAGCAGAACCCGCAGACACCAGTAAAAACGTGTAGTAACGGATTTGAAGCGCATAGTTCAATCTCTGTGTTCCCAGCGTTGAGTGGTGAAATACTTACAGTTTACCAGAGACAACAGTCGAGACGAAATCGGTGTCGGAATTTAAAAAAATCCTATACGACCGCTTTATGGATTATAGAGCTATATAGAGCGCCCCGCATCAGAATGGAACATGTGCACCTGATCTAACCTTGATGTAAACCTACTCGCCCTGTAACTTCAATATTCACAAGCAAATAAAAAGAGGAACCCGATTTTATGCTAGGAGTACAGTGTTTTTCATTATAACGCTCATGACATCTCACATCAGGTGGCTCTGTGGGGCTTGTAAATCGCAGGTTGTTCAAGCTGTAATAAAGCACTCTTCATTAAGTAACCGAGACCAACGAATGAAAGGCGGTTTACTATTAACACCGAGAAAGACTTTGCAGAAGTACGGGAGACGAGAGGACAGATCAGTGACAGTGGACAGCTAAAAGCAAACGATGCTCCCCAACTGTTGTTTTTCGAGGGAAGAGTTCAGTTCGAAGTGTTACATCTCGGCTTTTTCGATCGAAATGGTGAACATCCACACAGCAGAACAAATGGAGCTTCGTGTCGTGGACATCGAGCTGAAGGTGCCTCGGAAAAGAAGAAGGTGGGAATCAGTTCTTTCTCTACAGCATGAATGAAGAGTCCAATAAGGATTGGCTGGCTACACACAACTGATGCAGGTTTAAGACTGTGTGTAAGCTCTACGACGGTAGTATGTCACCAGATGTGACAGGTCAACCACGAGTGAGCTGAAGTTGGGTGGCACTTTGTTGGCTGTGTTTGAGACGGGTGGCAACAAGCGAGCAAGGGAGATGCACTCCAATCGTCGTAGTTAACTTGCGGTGCCCATGCACTATGTAGTCGTGTCAAGCTCACAAGCTGCAAACTGGTATCGACCATTGAGTGGCTTTGAGAGATTTTAAAACTAATACTCGACATGCGGTTAAGAAAGAATTGAAAATTCGGTTGTTTGGCTACCACACTCAAAAGTTTGGTACGAGTGCAATTGAACGCATCATCCTACCGTATTCAGCCCCAATAAGATAGGCAGTAAAACGTGGCCGCAATAAATCCCCATGAAGTTGCAAAAAGGCTGTATGTACCACTTCTAGACCTAGAACGCATATTTACGGTCTACGAGTCAACATTCATTCATTGTACACGTTAGCTAGAGGTGAAAAACACCTCAGCAATTGTGCCGTAATACACAAAAGAAGCCTGAGACAGGCACACCAGCTGGGTCGCCAGTAACGGATGGACATCATTCCAGGGAGCAAACGGCAGGTTATTGCGCCGCAAAAAAGTTATATTATGCCTAATAATTGAGATCGTGGTTGGAGAGGGAGGCTAAGCGGGAGGAGGAGGGACAAAGAAACTCACAACACAAACGCCATTGAGGTCGGCTCCTAGCCATGTCAACAAGTGTATCCAGCCAAACGTGTTCATCGTCTTTCGGACCCCAACCAGGGAGCCGAGACGCTCCAACCGAGGCCAGTTTCGAAGTGCGGGCCTTCATTCCTCTCGACCAAGTCATCGCTTGGTTACCCTCTCTATTCTTCCATCCACACTTTTGGCGAACAAACAACGCACGTCGCGGTACTTGGTGTTCCGGCAACATGTGGCCCAACGATCGGAGCCTGGTACGTGATGTAAAGATGCTGAGCAAGTTACTTCTTCCTGTGCCATAAAATGGTGCCGAACACGCTCACACGGTGTTCCCACCAGACATGAGGCAAAATGCGATGGTACCCGTGGTCGAAGGTAACTAGCCTCTTCATGTCTGCCGATCCAATGGGCCAGATTTCACAACCGCACAGCAGGGCCGGACGTACGGCTGCATTGTATACTGTACGCTTCAGGCAGAGTGATGTTGCGCGGGCACCATAAGCGGCGAAAGATTAGCAAAAGCGCCTCGTGCTTTTGCTATAGGGTTTGCAACCGTGTCTTCAATTCTAACGGCGCTAATACAACTGCACAGGTAGTCGAATTTTTGGATGAGTTCTAGCTGATCTCAACCAAGGGTCAGCGCAGGAGGCGGTCCCTGCCAACCTTGGAGGGAAGCTTTGCATTTCGAGTGTGGGAAGCAAATCCAGAAGTGGTTTACAGCCAGTGCGAATCTATCTAGTGCCGCGTGGCACGTTTGCCAGCTGTCACAGATAACCGTAATGTCGTCAACACCTAAGTCGTGTCCCGTAAAAGCGATCTCCATGACTTCGTCAACAGCGAAGTTGAAGAGGAAAGGTGACAGCGAACATCCATGTCGTACATCAATGCAGATATTGAAGGGCGGCGACAACCTGCCGTAAGCCCTAACTCTGCTTGAGCTACGCACGTAAAACGCTCAGATAATGTTTACATATTTCCCGCACACATCTTTCCTTAGCAGATATACCCAAAGTGCACATCGATCCACCGAATCGAATGCACCTATAATGTCGAGGAACACGGCAACGGTGGGCCGCCTATACATGTGACGTTGCGCCAACAACTGACGTAAAGTGAAGATGTGATCGATGCAGCCCCAACCTCGAACAAACCCGGCTTGCTACTCACGAATCTGGATTCAAGGAGTGCCAGTCAATCTCTGAGGGATGACAGAGGCAAACGATTTGGAGGCGATGGGGATCAGATTGGTTCCTCTATGACTGCCGAATTCCGAACACGAGTCTCCCTCGAAGGTCGGAGATATAACGGAGCGGCTCCAGTCGGTTAGGGCAGTTTCCTGCTCCAACAGCTTCACTAGTAATTCGTGTAAATCAGCAACAAGAGTAGGTCCCCCGAATTTAAAGAGGGCTGGAGGAAGATCATCTGGTCTCGTAGCTTTATTCAGCGTTAGCAGTCCGACCTCCCGATGGACTTCTGAACGAGAGAGCGGATCCAAACGCACAACCCAGAAAGCAGAGCGATCACTGGCCGGTGAGGAATCTAACAAATCTGCCCGATTAAATTGCTTTTCAAAATGCCCAACCAAACGCTCCAAGCGTTTTGACAAGTCATGGAGAAGCTGTTCACTCTCGTCACAAATGGTTTCACTAACACCAGGTATCCTAGTGCCTGTATCCCGTATCAGATGGAATAAATTCCGGTGGTTACCAAGGACAGCGGCCACTTCCATCTCCTTCGCGAGATGAGACCACCAGACTTCGCGGTCTCTTCAGGCTAGTACGCAGTTTTGCCCTGAGGTCTTTGCGAGCCCCACTGTGTACTCTCAAAGTCGGAATGTGCAATCATCAATAAGTTCCCGAGAATGCGTAGGGACCCAATGTGAAAGTTGGCTATTCGATTTACCACATAAGGATTTGTCTGCTGCTAGTAAGGTCCGGAGAACATGCGACCAGTGACCTTCGACTGAATTCAGTCAGTGCATACTCAATCCGATTACCAGCGTCCTTCGATACGCATCCAAAACGGTCGGCTTCGCCAGTTACCTGGTGTCTAGGCGCTCACAGCATCGTCGGAGATGTCCGCAAAAACGCATCAGCAGATCAGCACATACATGAGCATGGTTAGTGTCCACGCACGTGCTCCAAATCCAGTGACAGTTTTGGACGCATACTCTCCAGGGGTAAATGATGGCAATGTGATCGATTTACGTCCATGACTGGTGGGCGCGTTATCAACTTTCGGAGGGTGATGTGTCGGAAATAATTGTTCGCAAGTAATAAGCAAGCGTCGTCACACAAATGAATTAACCGCTCACCGTTATCACTACGGCGGCCTACATGTCAACCACCCAAATGCAGTGCATCAGAGGACAATTCTCCAAACTGGGCGTTCAGATCCCCAGCCAGCATTACAGTGTCCGTGCTACTTTTGTGGCGAAGGAGTACGTTCAGTTGACGATAGAAGTCGTCTTTCACTGAGTCAGTACTACAGTTTGTGAGGGCGTAGACAGCGATGACAAACAGATACATATTAGCCCCATGCGTCTTCGAAGCATTGCACGAACCACCAAGTCGGACCGCACATATTCGGCTACTGATTGGGATCCAATCAACTAGAGCAGCTTCAGCCCGGGGACTCAGGACAATACCAACACCGGCTTGACCGGTATTCGAAATTGCACCTTCTTCGGAGGGGCGTAGTAAGAAAGCACTGCACTGAAGGAGGTCGCAGAGTGAGCCAAGAGCTCGAGTCTTGTAGGCGGGTTTCCGATAGACAGTAGATATCGATGGAAAAGTTCTCTCGCAAGTGACGCCTTTTGACCGACCAGTAACAATGTGCGTACGTCAAAGCATGCCAATCTGAGGGAGGATCGAGGTACGCAAATAGAAGCCGATGAACTGGACATGACCGTTTGATTATATGTGGACTTGTCGATAGGGTAGGAGTGACGCACCGCGTTTGCATGTGAGTTGAAATTAAAAGATAAAAACATAACAAAGCCAGGTGGAGGAGAGCAAGGAATTGGAGGGGTTAAAACGAGGAGGGTTAAAAATGAAGTTGGAACGGGACGATAAGGATGAAAAAGCGTAGGACGGGGAATAAGAAAGCAGGAAAGCTTGAGCAGTAGCATCCAAAACTCTATCCCTGCTCGACGCAGTAAATAAAGTGCCGTTAATTATCCTATGCGAGGAGAAGAACATAAAGAAATGGTCTGAAGGGAAAGTCACTGTATTGTATAGTGTGGGCAGGATACTTTCAGGTTGCCCAAACCCAGAGAGGAGATCGATTAGGGTTCTCAATCAAAGCCTTTGGTTCAAAAACTTGACCGCAAGACAGCGGGTTTGGCAGTGGACTATAAGGAATGGGTTTTAGGGAATAGGGAGCCACCCTCACGTTAACACCCAACCTAGAGGACCAGGAGACTGAGTTTGTCTGGCCTCTAACCATTGCAAAAAGCACCACACAGCATGGTTTGATGGATCGCTGAGGCAGGCAAACCATCCCAAACGGTAAGATCCAGCCTCAGTGAGATGGAAGTCCACTAGTATCCCCAGATAAAGTCGGTCTGAAACACTGTGTATATGTGTGTAATAGTACAGGTAATGAGTCATAAAAGTTCTCACATGTCTACTATGTAATGTAACATTTGTCCATACCAGAGGCGGTTATCAGTTGAGCGTGTTCATTCACCGTGGATCCCTAGCACAAGAATAAGCAGCATCCGGGTACAGCCAAATATGAGGTAAGTGCATCGATACTTTGAAATGAAGTTACGTATTGGCCACACTGTTGTGATTTCCAGACAATTCGAGTACTAGCGAAAAGCACGGCAAAGTAACCGCTGAATATGCTACAAACACGTATGCAAGCCGCCGAAGCTTGTGTTGTGAAATTATGTAACTCTATGGCCCGATATAATTCGTCAGCGGCGCTATGTAGTCATCGTGTGTTAGCAATGCTCCGAAGGAGGTGATGATCAAAACATACAGTCGCTGAATATATATTTTGGGCGAATAGGCAGACTTCAAAATCATATGGAAGAACAGCTCATGTCACAGGGTTGTAAGAGTCCCGGAGTTTAGCTGAAACTAACATTTTGTCGAGAGCGTGTGATGTGAAAACGGATAAATATTGTAAACACGTTACTGGAGTGAGAGGCGTATACTAGATGGCAGACATGCATGATCTCCCCAGTGTGTTGTACTGGAAAATATGACAGAGATCAACCCGCCTCACGTGTCTAGCTAGCTATACATGGCAACGTCCAAAGTGTGGATGAAACGTCAGCTAACCGGAAGTTGTAAGTGCTAGAAATTAACAGACAAGTGCGGTGCAGACAGATAATACCGTAGGTTGGTACATTTTTCGCAAAAAAATGATACAACAAAACCAATCTGAAATGCTGCGAAGATATCGCTGGTTTGAGTGAATATGACAAAGGCAGCTGAGGGGAACAGTGGCTGAAGTCGTATCTTCAAGTTGTATCACTGAGAGCTGGCTGGCTTGCCGAACAACCAGCTGGTGCCAGCTGGGTAATACGGGTTTACACCCTACCAGCAAATAGTTCGGCGGCAGTGTTTTAGAACGTGGTGAGTTTTCGCCTGGAAGGCGATTTCTTTATAAAAGCCACATATGTCCGGTTAACAAGAGTGCGACGTGGCGGATGTGACGACCCACTAAATAAAGTTAATGCCCATTGCTTCATACTGTCGAAGCATTGTATTCCAGCAACTTAATGCTGAAATTGTTGGGAGCATTGAGCCCCTATATGGCAAACGAACAAAGGAAAGGCGTATGAACTGGACAATCAGTTACCGGCTCCCAATGGACGCGATGACCTGAATTCGCTCCGCTGCTTGCGGGCAGGCTAATCGGCCAAAGGCTCGGGGTGGTGTCCCCTAAGTCAACACCCTACCTCGGCTTGGGCAACCAAGGTAGTATCTTGCCCTGTGACGAAACCATGGACTCCTTCGTGTGGTATTTTTTTAAACGATATCCGTACCTTCCTCTGAGCGCCATGATTTTTGATGGCTCTACGCCTATTCGTAGGCTGTTGCATATATATATATATATATATATATATATATATATTGAGAGCTAAACGGGCGAGTTACAAGTATCGATGATGAGGTTCGAAGATAATGGGAAATACGAATAAGCTGGTGGGAGTAAAACCAATCGTGAACAAGAATTTCCTAAGGCGTAACGAAAGAACAACGAAGGCATAGAATAGTGGTCTGAAACCAACCCACTCACCCGATCTTCGAAGAACAGCTTCAGTGAGGAGGAGAACGTCACTATAAAAGAGAACAACAATGTGAGACGGGATCATGAAGATCAAGTTCAGTTAGTTGACTAGTATCCGGGCACCTATATGCATTGCTACAACGCGCGTCAGCATGAAAACAGGGAGCACGAACGAGGCGGCAGAGTGGGGTTAGAATAAACCACAAATGAAAAGCTTTACCAAGCTTCCCAGTCAAATGGTCTAAATATTGCCATGCCATCGATTAGTCTCCCAGAGAATTCGACGAACAAAGTGCTCAGTCGGTGAAATACAACACCGAGATTGGTGGCATTTTACAACTTGTATTCAGCTAGATCATGGACTATATAATACAGCGACATCTTTTGGATTACCATAGTTGTGATAAGAACTATCGGAGACAGACAAAAAAGAAATTATCAACCAGGGCACAAGGGCAGCAAAGGGCCTGCAAAAAAGCAAAACGGATCGGCACTGGTCTCAGCGCATCTGCATGAGGAAGGACGGAGGTTCGAATGGAACAGTGCAGATATTCTGGAAGGGAATTTCTAGAAGTGTGGTTCTCTAATAATTTGATCAAGATTGGCATTGATATCGACTCAATGTACTAACAACTCAGAAAGAAAGATCTCCGGCGAATCGAAAGGCAGAGCTAGAACGGAGATACGCGGCGAATAACTAGAGCGAGCGTTGCAGCAGCAGAGGAAAATGAGTGAAAATCATGAGGCGCAAATAGAAGATGCCACTTTCAAAAGTCATCTGCCCGTCGATCATGAACAGACGATGCGATCAGCAAGATTGCCTACCGCGAATCAATGCAATGACGATGCTGTCTCGTATGGTGGCGAAAAGTTTGTAACTATTTAATCAAGCATGGAGAATCAATCAACAGATGAATGGGTCGGCGTGTTGATTATTGCGCCTAGGTTCAACGCCAACAACTTGGCCGTATACATAGCGAGGAACCAGTACTAATGATGAATGTAATTACACTTAAGACGAGAAATGTAGGAGGGGGATAAACAAGCAGATGTTGAATCAGTGTCGCTTGTACTGTAATGGTCCTAATTGTAATTCTGTGTCGCTATATAACAAACGGTGGGTATTCCAAATCCAACAGAAGTTGATCGTTATTAAAAAGCCGTATTAGTAAGAAATATGGATGTGTAGGTGGAGCAGGAAGATGTGAAGTGGGCGCTCATGTCAAACCGAGATGTGAATAGCGTAAACGTATTGTAAAGTGCACATAGAGAAGAATAGTGGGAAGAAGAACATGGGCGGGGGGTAATCGGCAGACAACTGCGCAAGCCATTCAGTCGACGATGAGCTTAAGATAATAAATCTAGTGCGCAGGAATTAACTATTTCGAGCGGGATACGGTGCTGGGGAGCGTCTAAAAAGACAGCTGGAGGGAGAAGATCAATAGCCAGTTATTGAAAACTCAGCATGATGGAGAGAATTGGAACGAATGGTAACGTTGAAGTAAAGAATAGAATTGCTTCACATTGGATGTAATGAAGGTGCGTTTAACCAAACTGACGAACACAACAGACCAGTGAATCTGAAACAGCGAGTCGAGAACCGGTGCGGGAGGCGGAAACGCCTTTTCAAGATCAAGTAGAGAAGGTGCAAATTGTTTGATTAAGTTTCACCAAATATCGAGTGTGATATTCGGCCCTTCCAAAGCAACTAAAGGATGTAAAAACAAAATCCAGAGGAGCGATGCAATTAACGGGTGGCCAAGCGAAGACCGGATGGACACACGAAGGCAGATAGTGCAAGCGGTCACACATAGAGAATAATACGCTACAGAAAACGGATTAGGTCTGGGTGGGAAATCATGTAGGGACAGTCAATCCGAGCCGATGGCAAACGGAAGGAAGCAACCAGACAAGAGGCAGAGATAATTGGGTTGTCTTATGAACTGGGTACTTTGGTAGAAAAAGTCACTTTATCAGACTACGCAACATGATCAGTCTAGAGAAGAAACGTTTGCAGCCAAGGTCCCCAGCTCGGAGATCAGCCCAAATACGTCAACCACATACCAAGTGACTCATTCACTAAATAACTATAGAGAGAAGGGACTGTAAGAAAACTTTTGCCGTGAAGAGTTGTCAGTAGGTGAGTCAGATTGATAATGAAGGTAGATGAATTAGATTCGTCTACCGGTGTGTGCTGAGGTTCCAAGATTGGAATCCCGTGCGTTCCATCACAAACGCATATTCGGAGCTCATGAAGGAAAGACTTGAAAGTAAAGTCGCGAGTGAGGTTTGAAGGTTCAAGCAGAAGAAATTAAAATGTGTAGTAAATGCAATTCCAGACTAATTTGAAGAACGTAATCTACGAAAGAAAAGTAAAAA